TAACATGTGTGCTTTGACAATGTTCATGATTTCACTGTGCCAACAATAATGTATGACAGAAATCAGCTGACCGAAGCACTGAAGGACATTCGTCTGCAGCGACCACGCCTTGGTATCCATGTCCAACTATTACATTTATGCAAAACGACTTACAAAAGAGAAACAAAAGCAATTCATGACAGACTAATCTAGTCATGCAGCTGGCTGGATGCTCGGTGATGTAGCACAAGGTAGTTTGTGTTCAAACTTGACATTACATTTATTTTGACAAAAAAAAAATTAAATAAAATTGTAAAACCTGAAAAAAAAAAATTTCACTAAAAAAAATGTGTAAATAAAAAAAAATTTAATTAATCAATCAATCAAATTAAATTGTGTGTTGTAACCAAAACTAAGTTTCATTCATATAAAAATTCAAAAGTGTGGGGTAAGTCTTGAATAAGTACTCATTAAATTGATCAAAAGTGACATTATAATATTCCAAAAGATTTCTATTTCATACAAATGCTGTTCTTTTGCACTTTCTATTCATCTGTGAATCCTGAAAAATAGCAAGCTAAATTGTAATAATATTTTACTGTTTTACTGTATTTTGATCAAATAAATGCAGCCTTGGTGAGCAGAAGGGGCGTCTTTCAAAAACATTTTTAAAAATCATACCAACCCCAAACTTTTATATGATGTGTAACTGGATCAAGACCCATTATATATAAAAGTTTCTCAATGTTTTGCCTGATATAAAACTTGACACCATTATAAACCTCCCACTGCACACCCACACCATACATGTAATATTAGTATTAATAAATATGAATAATTACTTACTATATATTATTAAATATTACTTAAAATATATTTAAATATATGTTAATAAATATATAGTCACACTTGTGTTGATTGCAGTCAGAAATGACATTGAAAATGAATGGGAAATTTGTTACCTGTACAATTTTTTTTTCTTTATTTTATTATTATTATTTACATTTTTTTATAGAAATAAATGGTCCATAATTTAGATGTGAATATTGTTTAGTATCATTAAAATCACATCAAAACACCAAATATTAAAGAAAAAAACATTACTAAAATGAAATATAGTATATTTCTCTATTATTGATGATAATCAAAGGAACCGCTGGAGTCTGGAGCTCAGGGAACGACAGGCACACGAGCCGTGAAAGAGCCTGATTCAAGGCGCTGCGGGAACTAGGTGAGTGTCAGAATACATCAATCTCCCGGTTTCTGTATCAGGCCCAGAGGCGATTACACGCGCCGCAAACTCATGCACATGTATGTTTGTGTGCGTGGGTTTGTTATGTTTATCACAGTCTCTGTTAACACCAGCGTCAGGGAAGCAGACTGTGAAGATGCTCCCATCATTTTCACAAAACACATTTACAGAGTTCACTGACACCAACATCCATCTGGAATAAATTACAAGCATTTGTTTCTGTCTACCTTTCGATTACTGAATCCACACTATAGATTGCATGATTAATCAAAATAAAACCAAAATATGGCTTAGTGCAATTACCGTAAATGCAGACAGATAGTTTATAGACAGACAGACAGACGGATAGATGGATAGATGGATAGACAGACAGACAGACAGACAGATAGATAGATAGATAGATAGATAGATAGATGCTCGCTTATCAACAAAATATGCTTTAAGGGCTTCCTGTGGTTTTCCGGCAAAATAAAAGCTTGATGGTGTAACATTTAAAAATAAAGAAATAAATAAAAATGAAGACAGCCGTAAATACTAGTATTGTAATTTTACAGTTGTAAGGTAAATGCCACACAAATAGTGCTCGTCACATGAAGCACGTATAGAATCCATTCACAGCTGACACAGTAGAGGCTGACATTCACATATTGCAGCTAACAATGCGTCTCTATAAGTAAAAAAAAATGCAGTCAATCTTTTAATTCTACAGTGAATAATAGAATAGTAATATTTTCTGAGACTGAGATTTTTTAACTCATTTAATCACTGACTTTGGAGACGTCATGCATTTATTGAACTTTTAAAATGAATAAATAAAATAAAATAAAATAAAAAAGTGGATTTCCTTGAATGTTAAATATAATTCAATTGAAAATAAAAAAAATATATAACAAAAAAATAAAAAAAAACATTTTAACAGTGGATTTCTTGTTTTTATTTTTTATTATTATTTCATAGCCATATTAATATACAATCAAACAATTTTAGCGAAATTGTCCATCCCTAAAAACAGAGCAAACAGGGATTTTTTTATTTATTTCAATTTAAATCACAACCAAAAATCTTATTGTCAGGGATTCATCACAGTCACTTCAGTCGCCATCCAGGATAATCACCCGATCACAGTCACCTGAGTTCTGATCACCCGCACCTGCTGTCACCAATCAAGCCACATATACACACACATCACAGTTACTCACTGTCCGGTCTACCGTTCACTCCTATGACTGTTCTGGACTCTCTCTACTGAATTCTCCTAGAAAGACTTACCTTCTGTTCCTCCCGCGATCCTCCAACGACTCCTTGGAATCTGTTCCACGATCGCCACCGAAACCGGCATAAGATACTCACCATCAGAACTCAGATAAGAACCCTGGAATCATTCACTGTGTTGACACTCACCTGCCTTTACCTCACCCGTTCCATT